TGTACTCGCTTCTGTTCTGTTCTTACGGCATGTGTGCGTTTAGTCCGTCTTCTGACCCACCCCTGGGGTTCCTTGAGCGCAAGACGCGTGTCCCTCCCCGTGCTCCTGTTCTGCTCACCTGTGGGGGTTCCCAAGTATTTTTATGGAACATTTTAACCTCACAAAGTATTGATATAGTCACGTTAATTTGGAGTTATTGACCTATTTATTCTCTCTGCTCCGCTTTCTTCACAAACCAGACATGCCATTTGAGATCACCTTTGCTTTCTGCATTTAGAATTTCTCTTAACGTCTGCTGCTGGCAAATTCTCTTTTCATTGTCTAAAAATGCCTTTATTGTATCCTCATTTTGGAAAACTGTTTCACTGGGCTAGTATCTCAGGTTGGCAGCCTGTGATGACGTCGCCCTGTTTTGGGGGCTACGGTGGTGTTCACAGTGTTCATGTCTCATGTCCATTCCCTTTGAATTAGACCCCACCCAAGGCTGCAGCAGTGCTAGACCAGGACTCACAACTGACAGATGGCTGGTCCGCCTGCTCCTCCTTCACAGTCCTCCCGTCTAGATGAGGAAGCGAGAGGCTCCGTTAGGCAAAGGGGACACAAGGCTCTCAGCCCTGTGAGCTTCAGCCCAGTGGAGGCACTCAGCACACTCCCTACCTGGGGCCCCTCGAGTACCCATCCCCTGTTACCATCTGTTACAGATATGTGTGCTCTGAGGAACAGAGAAATCCACGTTTTAAAACACCTTTATTTGTCACTTTACCAACTGGACACACAATGTTAATGACAGCAGACACACAGGGGCATGTGCACACAGACATGAGCTGTTTCACTACAGGTTTGCAAGCCAGGCTCAACAGCAAGTCCAACAGGCGACACCACGCCTCTCACCTGCAGAAGGGACAGCACAGCCACCCCACCCCACAGACGTTCCCAGTGAGTGCGGTTTAGACGTTGGCAGAAGTGCCTTTCAGAGTCAGAACAGCCATGACATGGACATCACCTGTCACACTGATAAAGTGATAACGCTCAGTACTCCCTTATGTTAATCACACAGTGTAAAAATATATTGCACATATATATATATAAATTTGTTTCCCTTTCTTGAAAAAAACTTAGTACAAACTAGTAGTTACACGATCCCTTTCAAGTTTCTCTTAAGTTGTGCAGATTTCCTTTGTGGTTTGGCTTAGTTTAGTTTTTTAAGAGGTCAAAAGAAAGAAGTCAAGCATCTTGCTGTGCCCATTATTCCCCATCACAGGCCAGGGGACAAATGCCACACCCTGGACCACCAGAGCTCACAAAGTGTTCAGTAGTAAGAGGAGGAAAGATGCAGGTTCAGTGTTTGAAGGATGTTCTGGCCTATTGATAACATCACCGTCCAGCCTCATCGTCCCCCTGTGCCATCCCCTCATGGTGTGTGGTGTGGGGTGGGAGGGTGGCCAGTGCACACGTGATTGCCCACAGGAGGAGACTGAGCTGGGCCAGGAGGGACAGATAAGTGTCCAGGGCCAAGGCGTCTCCATCTCAACTCCTCCCCACTCCAGTTGTACAGCAGAAGGAGCCACAGGCATGTGTGAACACACAGGACAGGCCCTGTGCCAACAAAACACCATTCACAAAAGCAGGCAGCCACAGCAGCCCAGGGCGGGGGCCGGGGTAGGAGGTGATGCCCACGCAGGGCTGCTGTGGTTGGCCCTGAGCTGGCACCCCTGGGGTCTGGGATGGAGCGGCACCGACAGGCAAGTGGGGCGGCCACAGGACATGATGCCAGCCCAACTCCACCATCTGTGCCCAAACTTGGGACAGGATATTAGAAGGTGTAAAAATAGTCCAGTATAAACATATATCTTCTGCTACAATATTTTAAACATATAATTTGAACTTTAATTTTGGTAAAGCTAACTGTTATGAACACTACCTGGTTGCTTATCCTATAGCAGTAAATAAAAGTGAGTAAGTACTCTGGTGTGAACAGTCTTCTCAATGCGCTCCCTCTGCCTTTCTCCTTTCCTGATGCTGACACACGATCAGCGCTGTCCTCCCAACAGAACCTGTCCCTCTCTCCTGGTGTCACCCCCGACAGAACCTGTCCCTCTCTCCTGGTGTCACCCCCGACAGAACCTGTCCCTCTCTCGTGGTGTCACCCCCGACAGAACCGGTCCCTCTCTCCTGGTGTCACCCCTGACAGAACCTGTCCTTATCTCCTCTTGTCACCCCCAACAGAACCTGTCCCTATCTCCTTGTGTCACCCCCGACAGAACCTGTCCCTCTCTCCTCTTGTCCCCCCCGACAGAACCTGTCCCTCTCTCCTGGTGTCACCCCCAACAGAACCTGTCCCTATCTCCTCTTGTCACCCCCGACAGAACCTGTTCTCTCTCCTGGTGTCATCCCCGACAGAACCTGTCCCTCCTGGTCACCCCCGACAGAACCTGTCCCTCTCTCCTGGTGTCACCCCTGACAGAAACTGTCCCTTTCCTGGTGTCACCAACAGAACCTGTCCCTCCTGGTCACCCCCGACAGAACCTGTCCCTCTCTCCTGGTGTCACCCCCGACAGAACCTGTCCCTCTCCTGGTTTGCAGGCTGTGCAGTTTCTGTTATTCACAAATACACATTTATTTTCTGTTGAACCATGGTTAGTAGAAGCTAATTGGCAGTGCATAAAAACATGCAGAAGAGAACACACACCTGCCTGAATTCACAATATTCAGAAACTGACTGAGGAAGATGCACGGGTCTGTTACGTGCAGTGGGGCTGCTGTCCAAACAATGTTCTGTGTTTGGAGGCGGCACACAGATGCAATCACAGATTCCACAGACAAACTAACTGACAATGGTGACCACTATGCCCTCGTGACTTAATTTTTGCTACCCCTCCTGGCTACGTGACAGAAACGGGAGCAGAGCGGGTGTCTTCAAAGATTCGCTTTGGAGCCGAGCGGAGAAGGGTGCTCTCCTGGCTCCCGCATGTCTGAGGAAAGCCTGGGGGCCATTGAGGGAGGGCGGGACACTGGGGAGGCCGTGCCTCTGACTCGTGGGCACCAACCCTGGAAGTGTGGAGGGAGAGCGGGGGTGTGGGGCCTCTCCCTCCAGGAGCCCACGGTGCTCCAGGCTAGGACGGGCTGGATGCCACAGCAGCCTCGATCTCATTCACGAAACCCACAGGGGCGTCCTAGGGTTTGGAATGCACGCCACGGCTTCCCTCAGAGTGAAGGGTCCGCTTCTGCGAAGGAGCTCACCTCCAGGGGCCACGATGGGAGCCATGAGCCCCGCCGCTCCGGTCACTCCAGCCAGGTCTGGGAAGGGCTGTGGTGAGTCGGTGCTGGCCGCGTGGACGAAGTGCCCCGTCGGTGACAGGGCCTGTTCCCTGCGGGGTCGGGTGGTGCCCAGGCCGGGTGGAGATGCTTCTCGTGCTCAGGGCCGGTTTCTGGTGTGCTCCCGATGCGCTTGGTTCTTGAGGCCATTCTTGTCTGAGGCCAACCAGTGACCAGGAGTCGGGGTCCTGGTGCCTCTCTCCTCAGTGTCCCTCGTCCCCACAGACCGCAGCAAGGCCTGGCGAGCCTCTGTGCCTGCCGCGCGTGTGGGGACCCGCGGACCCCAACCCGCCTGTCCCTCCATCCTGACCTGGCGCCAGGCTCAGCTCCAGGGCGAGGTCCTCTGGAGTCACGTTCGTTCTGTGTGACTTGGCTGTGACTGTGGGGACCGGGCTGCCCATGGACAGAAGAAGGAGAAACGCAGCCTCGGACCAGGAGACGCGGCCCAGGGTGGAGCTGCGCTGGGGCCAGGGAGGCCGAGGAGGGCAGCAGTCCGAGGGTGTAAGGGTGCCAGGGTCCTTCGGGTCTCAGGCTTCAGGACCTGGGGAGCCGCCCTGTTCGGTGACCGCTCGTCCTCGGCCTCTTCAGCACAAGGGCTTTGGAATTGTGAGGGGCTGTGATCAGCCGATCCCGGTGACTTGCTCGTCTGTGATCGGGCGATTCCGGCGACTCGCTCGTCTGTGATCAGGTGATTCCGGTGACTGCTTGTCTGTGATCGGCCGATTTCGGTGACCTGCTCGTCTGTGATTGGTGATTCTGGTGACCGCTCGTCCTCGACCTCTTCAACACAAGGGCTTTGGAGTTGTGATGGGCTGTGATCAGGCAATTCCGGTGACCGCTCGTCTGTAATTGGACGATTCCACACTGCACATTCAGAGTTGTTTTCAAATGTTTCCGTACGTTAGTTCTGCTTTTCACACGTGGTCCAGCCAGGTTCAGTGGGGGCACAGGGCTGGGCTTGTGCACCCCCCGCCTTCCCTAGGCCGGTGAGGTGACATCCTAAAGGAGCCACGAAGCCTGAGGTTCATTTTTCCTTGGTCTTTATTGCCAGAAACCATGAACTTCCCAGCCCTGCCATGAGAAGCTGCCTGCCAGGTCCTCCCCATTCTCAGGTTGGGGTCTACCTGGGGATGAGCCTGCGGCAGTCTGTTGAGGGGCCTTGGAGACCCCCAACTTTCAACGGACCATGCTGTCTGGGAGCTCCAGCCCTGCGGCTCCTGCTCTGCTCAGGTAGGGGGAGTCCTTCCACAGGGCTGTGGCCGCAGCAGGTACACTCTTGGGAGGCGAGTGGCGCTCATGCGTGCCAGTGAGGGAGGGGCCTCACCATCCTGTGCTGTGAGCCTGGCCCTGGGCAGCCCCCTGCCCTGGCCAGAGCCTCACCGTAGCCACGGGCTAACACGCTCTGGAAGCGTTTCCCCAAGACTGCCGCAGGCTCATCCTCAGGTAGACTCCAGAACCACAACCCAGCAGGTCACACGCGTGGCTGTGGCTGTTTGCGTGCCAAGGGACAGTGGCAGTGCGCCATTGTGACAGTGGGTAGCCACACCCTTCAGCCTCCCCAGGAGGGAGCAGCAGTGCCAGCTTCTCCCCAGGTGCAGATAGGCAAGACCAGGCCGCCTGGGTGTGTCCTGGCAGTGTGGAGGGTCCTGGATGGGCTCTGCTTGGCCGTCTGCTGGCAGAGAAACCCCCACAGACACTGCAGGCTTGGGGGTCCTCCCTGGTGTCCTGCTCTCCAGGGGGAGGGGCCAGGAGAGGTGAGGCCGAGTCATTTCGGGAGAGCTGAAGAAGGCGCTTGGGCTGTGGCAATGGGAGGTCTGCAAGCAAGCAGGGTGCAGCTAGTGAGGATGGGCAAGCAGGAGGGCCGGGCAGAGGCCCTGTCACGCAGTGAGGCGAGGAGTGTCTCAGCACTTCGTGTCTCTTGCCTGGCAACACCACGGGGACCAGACATTCCGAATCTTCCTAGACCTGCTCTGAGAACACAGGCAGCCACCGTGTCCACTCAGGAAAGCAAAGGGAGCTGACTCCACCCTCACAGTCCGGGCCACTGTGGTCAGCCGGGAAGCCGCCCACTGCCCCCCCATAGCTTTCCTTTTTCCGACGTTGCCCTTGGCACAGAGCTGGCCTGTAGGCATGTGTGCACACTTGTGTCCATGTGACCGGCTTCCCCACACATGTGCCAGGTGCCCAGCACCCCCGCCAGGTGGCCCCACTCTGCCCTCTGCCCAGGAAAGCGGGAAGGCCCTGTGGTGTCCACTGCATGCAGTACAGGTCTCGGGCCCCACAGACACCTCCCATGTCTGGTGTGGGGCCAACTCCGTGTTAGTTGCCTGCTGGTTGGGATTAGCTCCTGCCACCCTCAGGGCTCCTGGAAGGTGTCTGCCAGTCAGGAGGTCAGCACAGCCTCCTGTTGCCATGACAGCCAGCTCCTTTAAAACACCCCTTTGACCTGCAAACCACGTGCCCGACGTGGTGTGATCCGGGAGACACTTTGGAAACGGTTGAGGACGCAGGTGTATAAGGAGGGTCAGTGAACTGGGGCCCAAACCTGGTTCGAGAGGGGAGTGCTGGGGGCATCTGGCAGGAGGAGGGGCAGGAGGGAGGCCTGGGCCTGGCCTCCCCCCAGCCCCCTCTGGGGCACCCATCTGAGTTCTGCCCGAGTGAGCACAGGAATGTAATGAAGTGCGAGGTGACAGAGTCCCTGCTCCGGGGACACCGGCAGTGCCGCGGGGCATGGAGCGGGGGCTACTTGCCCCCTTGCACCTTCTGGTCATAGGTGCCCGCGTGCTTGTAGCCAGACACATAGCCTGACTCGTCCACCAGGTCCACGCGGCCAGCCTTGCCCTTGCCCTTGCCAGAGGGGTCGAAGCGCTCCTTGTGGGAGCCCGTGAACTTGGTGGTGTCTGTGAGCCTCGACACTGTGGGCGACGAGATGGCTTTCTGCAAGAGGAGCGGGAGGAAGGGGACAGGTAAGTTGCCAGCAGGTGAAGTGGCTGTGCCCTGGGCAGGTCTCCCAGCGGTGGGGCGGTGGGCAAGGGGCAAAAACCCTGGGATTTATGCCCCTTTTAATTTTAATTCTTATTTTTACCTCTTGTGGCCCCGGGGCAGGCTTGGCCCTGCAGGGTGCCACGACCCTAACAATTGCCCCGGTCCACCTGGTGTTTATGCAGCTGGGGACCCCACCACCTGCACCCTCAAAGGGAAGGGGCTGTCAGGACAGCCAGGCCCCACCCTCCAGGCTATGGCCCCCCAACCCATGCCCCTTTTGACCAAGCCTCCCAGACCCTACCCCAGGCCACGCCCTCCCGACTACGCCTCCCAGGACCCACCCCACCCCCCCAGGCCAAGCCCCCAA